GCTGGTTTTCATCTGAGATTGAGAACGAAGGAAAGCTAGGGTGAAGCTGACCATCTTCCCAGTGAGCAGCCAAAGCGGGAGGTCTGAGAGCCCAGGGGTCACTAAGAGCAGCTGCCATCCCAGCCCAGGCTCCTGGGAGGGAACAGCAGACATTGTGCAGTAGGACTGCTGATATGTAAGCCGATCTGAAGGTGGATGGAATGACTTTATAAGGTGCTTTCTTTTTCATTTTGGTTTCTTCAAACAGTACAAAACTAGTTAGAAGGAAGAGCTGCAACTTGGGGGAAATTGGTAAGCATGGGTCCTGGTACCCCTGGCTCTCCCCTCACCCCCAATTTAGCGACTCAGTGTTGGACGGAATCAGCTCCCAGTGGACATAGCTCTGCAGCCTTCACTCAGATTCCTGTGGGACGGTGTTGTGCTACCAATTTCTACATGTTCACCACAAAATAGTTCTCCACAGCAAAAAAAATAAGTTAGACACCAAAAAATATTTGTCTGTCCCTCAGTGATGAAAAAATATTTTGACATTTTTACTACACTTTTATTTTGAATTTAAGATTTTGTACAAAGAACATGGCACACTAGCACATGAAGCTACTGACATCAGTGGACATAAGGCACGTACTGTCCAAGTGACGCGTGCACATTCACTGACTCACGTCATTTGCTGTCTTTGATAATTTTAGAGGAAATTAAGCCAAAAGATTATTGTATTTTAAAATATTTTAAGAACGCAGGAAACCATCAACACCTCTGGCCATTACAGAAATGCAAACTAAAATGACACTGCGATTCCATCTTAGCCATCATCAAGAAATCAAATAACAAATGCTGGAGAGGTTTCAGGGAAAAAAGAGCCCTTCTACACTGTTGGTGAGGATGTAAACTAGTTCAACCACTATGGAAATCAGTTTGGAGATGCCTCAAAAAACTAAAACTTAAAATTCCATTCAACCCTGCTATTCCTGTTCTAGATATCCTCCCAAAACAGTTAAATACATCATATTACAGTGATCTATGCACACCGACGCTTATAGCAGCACAACTCATAGTAGCTAAATCTTGGAAGCCACCTAAATGTCAACCAACAGATGAACGGATAACAAATTGTGGTATTTAAACACAATGGAGTACTACTCTGAAGGATAAATGTGTCATTTATAGGGAAATGGATGCAACTTTGAGACCATAATGTTCAATGAAATAAATCAGACATGCAAGCTTAAATATCACATGGTTTCTCTTACATGAGAAACCTAAAATATAAATAGAAAGTAAAATAAAAATGAGAAAATAGGAAGTAGGGAGATGGATCTTTCTCAAATGGAAAGGGGTCAGGAGATGGAGGGAGAGAGGGGGTGGGGGGTAAAGGAGATGAAATGGAATGAAGATGCATTACGCACATGTGCCAGCTCCACACAAGGAATGCAGCAGACACTGTGCACTACAAACGTGTACTGGTAAAAACTTAAAAAGTAAATAAATAAAAAAAGAATGTGGGAAACCAATTAAACATGTAATCTAATCTAGTTTAGAAGTTCTGTTTAGTCACTATGATGGTCCTAAATGGATGATTTAGTTATAAAAATAAACAAAATTTATTAAATAAACTAATCAACACAATAAATAATTATTCAATTTTAATTATCAGAGCTGAAATTGGCTTTATTTGCACATAATTTAGGGAGATTAAGCCATTCTTAACCATGCTAGAATTTAAAATTGTTTTACTTTTATTTAAATTGACATTGATTTATAAGTATTTTATAGCAAAGCAATGAAAGCTGTAATAATTGTAATGGGTGTGATAGGTTTTTAAAGAAGGGAATCTGTTCATGACTTTTCAAATCATTTTTTAAAGTGGGGGAAGAAATTCTATAGGCTTTCCAAGCACATGTGTTCCTGAAGTACTGTATGGGATTTTTAAAGTAATTTAACTTTTTCTTTTTATGAAACAATAGTAATAAGTATCCATTATCACTTATGAAAGGACTCATTTTTCCCTTTAATATTTATTAATTTTTAAAATATTTTACTTCATTTGCAACAACTTGCTATTTTAATTTTTTAGTACATTTTTTTTGCGGGGGCAACCAGAGATCAAACTCGGGGCCTTGCGCTTGAGCAGCAGGCAGCAAAACCACTGAGCTAAATCCCTGGCCCAGTACATTTTTATTTTTAAAAAGAAGATACTTAGGTGAGTGGAGATAAAGCTTTTAGATATATTCCAAAATATTTACAAAACACTTCATTGGCTGTTAAAGTCACTTTCAACAATGGTGACTATCTAAAAAAAAAAAACCACATATTTTGTAAATCTGTTCATTTAACCATGACCTTTAATTAAAATATATAAATTATTTTAGCAAAATCTTAATGTGAGAATGACAAAGGAAACTACCCCAGAACCTAATGTAGTTAAATATTAATAGCAATGCTTTCTTGAAAGTATACTGCTAATACATGTTTTCACATGAAATCTAAAGTTAAATAGTTTGGTTGTAGAATAGTGTTACATTTCCTCCATGAAGTTCAATAAATCATCTTTGCTACAACAAATAAAAAATAATAATAAATAAGTCATCCTTAAATTTGCCCCAGTCAGCTGAAAGCCAGCCCAGTGGTGAGACCTTCGGAATACTCTGTGACTCCCGTGTTTGGTGAGACCTTCACCTAACAGAGAAACCTGGAACCCCCTTTTGGCTACACTGTGGGACAGAGAGCAACAGCAACCAGAAGCCACAATCAAGCGCCTTTCCTGTAATACACCTGCAGTACCTCTAGGGAAAATAACAGCAGCGAACAGAATCACAAGAAAGACAATCACAACAGATGAGATTACAGTAATCAATACAACAAAAATATCAGGACCATATTTTCCCAGACAACTACACAACCCAAAGTAACTCATAAATCACTCAAACAAATACAAGAACAATACAGAGGAGATGACAGCACAAATCAAATCCAAGTGAGTCTAGGAACCCAGACTGCCTATCCAGAAAATCCATTTCCAACAGTAAAAGCCTCATTGCTCCCCAGAACCAGCAAGCCAATAAAGCCCAATATCTGGGCACACCCATACCAGACCAAGCCACGCTACCTAGAGAACTGAAGAGGTGCAGTCTGCCTAGCACTCGATTAACTCTGGGTAACCAGTCAGGTCTGCCACAGCCCCAGCGCATCCTACTGCAGGTGTCTATCCAGAACCACAAACACAGTTCATGGTCCTACTCCACCCTTCCTGCTATATCCAACAATGAACAGGGCTGGGAGCCTCAACGCATCCTTCTGCGAGTGTGCAACTGAAGTGAGGCTGTTGTCAAACAACAACAAACTGTAGATTAATTTTAGCCAAATTCCAATACCAGGTACTCCGGGGAATCTCCCCGAAGGAAAGATAGGTAAGTTCCCCAGAAAGCACAATTCCAAATTAATAAAGGGGAGCCCTTAAAGATACCAGGAATCTTTAACCATGAAACAAACAAACAAAAATGTTGCATAAGACAAAGAAAAAGAAAGCAGAGGCAGAAACAGAAGTGAGGACACAGGACAGAAGAGGGATGGGTTGGGTAGAGCCCTGTGGTCCCACACAGGGGGACAGCCAGGGAGGGGACCTTACCAGTTGTGCCCAACACTGAAGAAAGGTTCAGGTGCTTGCTTGTCACCCACGAGGAAGGTCTGCACTCTTCTTGGGAACCCTCCAAAAGGAGGTGGCCCATCTGGGTCCCCAGAAATGTTGCAAATCAGCCTAGAGTTCTTTTGCTGGATTCAGACAGAAATCATGAATGAGCAAAGTGCATTCGAGGGCCGGGGATTTAGCTCAGTGGTTTCACAGGCTGCTGCGAAAGCGCAAGGACCTGAGTTCGATCCCCAGTACCAAAAAAAAACCAAACAAAGTACATTCGAGCAGCTGACGCAGCCAGCTTTGGGACTCTGCCACTGCCAGCCACCACCTGAGTCGGGTGCTGGTCTCTGTACTGACCTCACTGGCTGCTGCTCCTGGAGCTCTTCTGAAAAGAGTGTTTTCTTTTGAACTGATTGCTCTGTCCACACCACTCAGAATAAGAATCTCAAGCACATTTACAGGACTTTTGGAGCCCACACGACCCAAGAAATAAATTACAAGCTGGTTTCCAGGACCACCAAACCTAAGCTTTATTTTAACAGGGCCTGAGCTGCAGCACACACTGCACGCTGGAGGGAGCCAGCCCTCTTAGACCAATCTGAGAAGCGGATGGGGAGTGCTGCTTATATAGCAGCTACAGGCCTGTGATTGGTCCAAGTGCAGGCCCGTGATTGGTGCAGGGCTCCAGGACAGCCTCAGCTGCCATGTCAAGGACCCAATGAGTGGCAGGGCTGAAACAGGGAACCTTCTAGAAGGCCAGCTGTGGGAGTTGAGGGTGTTAACAATGGGCCTAGATCCCTCCCTCCCTGGTCCAAAAGGCAGCAGCAGTGTCGGAAGTGGAGAGAGACGGGGAGAGGAGTCATGCTGATAGTCCAGCTGCATCCATGCTGGAGTGGAGGAGAGTGGCTGCTAGATAGCCAGGGAGGACAGGGAAGCAAGATGTCCCAGTCCACCGGGGTGGCGAGGGGAGCAAAGGGGCGGGGCGTGACAGGCGGCAGCCAAGCCACGCCCCCTCCAGCCCACGTGTTAAAATGGTGAGCCCAGCGCTTCTCTGTCTCGGCTAGAGAAACAGAAGCAGCTGCTCCTGCAGCTCAGAAACGTGCAAAGGGCGCTGGGGTGCCATTGCCCTTGTCCCTGCTATCATCCCTACACTGTGGGTGACAGAGCTACAGTAAAATAAGGCTCCAGAGACCTGCATGCACAGTAGTTTGTACAACACGAGATGTGACCTACAAGACCACCAGGGCAATTTGGGAACGTGATCAAATAATCAGTGCAACAAAATCATTCATCCCAAGGCAGAGGGGACTCAGGCGGAGCTCAGACATACTCAGGCAGAGACCAGGAACAAAGAAACAATAGGCCGAGATATTTGCTATTAATCTTTATTTATATGATTGTTTTCTGGGAAGCACCTCATTTTCAAAGCTAAGCCTAAGGCAAGTAGTGTAAGGCACACAGGAAGAAATCTGCTGTATGGAAATGCTTTTGCTGTATCACAAAGAGTTCTATTCCTTGAGCTCTTCGATTCAAGGTACTAATAATGTCTATGCATGCAGAGCAAAAAAAAAAAAAAGCAAAGGCCAAGAGTGCCAGGCACATGAAGATATGCATATACTGTCTTCACATTTAACCTCATATCGATATGATTAAGTAGCTATCTGTGTACATCTAACCACACCTGATAGTGCACATTCTTGGGGAACTCCCAATGCACTAAGAGCTGTGTGCGCTTCAAGGCAAAGTATTTCACTGAGTTTCTAGGGAAACATTTGAAATGTTGTTTCCTGATTTGAAATGTTGCTTCATGGCTTGAAATGTTGCTTCATGGCTTGAAATGTTGCTTCATGATTCTAAAAGAAAGGGAAAATATTAGGGAGAAGACTGTTAGAGACAGGGAATGTTCCCCACAATCTTCATTATGCATCATCAGTAAGAGACAGCATTGCCTTTTACTTGATAAACGACTGCCTACCATTTGTTCTGCAGAACAAGGAAAGGAAAACAAGTTTTTCTCATGGAAAATCAAGCCCGGTTTCTAACCTTTCTCTATGCTAACAGATACTAAAGACGGGAAGGAAGTCAAGCCCTGCAATTACAGCTTCTCCCATGAGAGTCCATGGGAGACAGAGAAGCAAAATTTACAGGTTAACCCTGGAAGGGGAAATTTCAACAGCCCATGTGGCGGCCTTTGAGAGAGAGAATTCACAATCTCACACTACATGTTATTTCTCCTGAAACAGCAACAACTGAGATTCTGCCTCCACTTCCAAATATTGAAAATGTGAATTCATTCATAGTTCATTCATCACCATGCTCCCCCTAAAATCATCTTTTCAAATAAAGCCGGGTGTGGTGGCACATACCTGTGATTCCAGCATCTGGGAGGCTGAGGCAGGAGAATTGCTATGAGTTCAAGGCCACCTTGAACTACATAGCATGACTCTGTCTCAAAAAAATTTTTTAGTTTATATAAATAAATAAAATATAAAATGCCTGGATTATCCAAGAGTTCTGAGACAGGTTTGTCTCTAGAAGCTGAATGGTCTGCAGAATGGCTGATCACACTGCTGTGTGATATTTTAAAGAAGGCCCCGGAAACTGCCCGGGGTGAGGGGGGAGATGGGGTGCTGATTGGTTCACTCCTTCACTTCCAGGCATTCTGACCTCACAACAGACCTCGAAGGACTGGATTCCAAACTAGAGCCCATCAGAGAAACAGACAAAATGTGCTGTTCAGTACTTCGCTTTCTTTCAACTGGCCTATAAAGACATCTAGCTACACGCGGATGCTCCCCCTGCTCTGCTATTCCACAGTTCGTACTTTTTATCACGGTCACATTAAAACTGTGTAGTTTTGTTTTTTGTATTTGGGTTTTGTTTTTGTTTTTGTTTGGTACCGGGGATCAAACTCGGGTTCTTGCACTTGCGAGGCAGGCGGCGGCACCACTGAGCTAAATCCCCGGCCCAAAACCGCGTTGTTTTTAAAGAGCGTGGCAAGCAGAAGAGCTTCCCCTGAGCACTGATGGGTCTGGTGCCGCAGGTTTTATTGCGACTCACTCTGTTCCGGCACAAGCACGCGGATCAGCGCATCTCCCTTCCTGCTGTTCTGCAGGAGGATTTCATACACCTGCCAGTCTTACTTTTTTTTCAAACACGGGTCCCAATTCACTCCTTAGGAATGGAATCGTTATGAAAGGACAATCAGTGGGCTTTACAGCAGCGGTCTGCATCCACTACGTGAAAGAAATCAGCGGGAGAAACAGCAGGTCCTGGGCTGGACTCGCTTTGTAATTTAAATGAAGATAAAATGTTTATGGCCCTCCAGCTCCCAGATGCCCTAGCATATATTAAGCACGCTTCACGCCAGCTCGCTGTTTGTAAGCATATGAAGGGGGGAGGTTGGGAACCCAGAACACGGCCACGGGGGCTTTTCCTCCTTCCCCACAGGAGCCGGGTGCAGCTGTGTCCGCTTGGGCACCAGCTCTGTGGCAGCCCGCGATGAAGACCCCTGCGCGCGGTGCTTATTCGCTCAGTGGCTCCTTCCCCGCTGCTCTGATAGCAACGGCCTGGGAATCTGTCGCGCATTTTTAAGAGCAAGCATGGAAGGGTCAGGAAGGAGAGTGAAAAAAATTTTAACTTAAATTTTTGGGGGGTGGTTTTTGGTACCGGGGATCAAAATTGGGACCTTGCGCTTGCGCGGCAGGCACCAGAACCACTGAGCTAAATCCCCGGCCCCTTTAACTGACATTTTTAAGGATCCTTGCAGCGTTGGAGCAAAACTGCCCTGGATGAACTGCAAACCCGGTGGCCAGGTCAGTAATATCAGTAATGACGTGACCGTCGTGAGTGTTTCCCCGGAAGCAGGACCCTTTTCAGCACACAGTGATTTACAATGCCCTCCGCTCTTTATGGCTCACAAGACTGAAGCCTCTCTCCTTCTCCTCGCTAACCCTCACTACTGAAACTAGCAGCCTAGCCAGGCAGGTGGCAGGCACACGCCCTTAATCCCAGCACTCGGGAGGCTGAGGCAGGAGAATCACCGTAAATTCGAGGCCAGCATGGGCTACATAGTGAGTTCAAGGCCAGTTTGAACCATATAGCGAGAAAAAAGGGAACTTAGGTGCTATAATCATATTAATACAATCCTATGCCCCATCTGTTAAGAAGTGCAGCATAATTTTTATCACTAATAGAAATTTAAAACGACCAGGCAGCGGAAGCGCGTCAGACCCCTAGTGACGTGGCCCTGCCACCGCGCGCGAGTGTTCGGGCTCATGCTTCGTACACGGGCGGGCGGCCCTTGCACCCTCATGCCTGAACTCCGGGCGGCTACTTTCCTGGACGCCGCCTTGGCCGGTCCCGCCGCCCACCGCTGACACGCCCCCTAGCGGCGCAGGCGCAGGCTCAGGGCACCGCGGGTCCTCGGTCACCCGCCCAGCGCAGCCCGCGGACCAGGGCGGGATGGGGACAGCGCAGGGCCGGCTACCTGTGAGGGCTGCAGGGCCGCGGAGCCTACGAGTCCTCCGCCTGGTCCCCGGGCTCCTCTTCTCCCAGGCCGGCCTCCTCCTCTGCCGCCTCCTCCCCGACGTCCTCCTTCTGTTCCAACAAAAGTCACCTCGTTAGGAGACACGCGTGTCAGGACCCCAGGCTCAAGGAGAAACAAGCAAACAACCGGAAGTCTGCCGGAGAGGGGAGGGCCTCCTGATAACACACCCCACCCACCGCGCACTGCACGCAACACACGCAACACACGCAACACAGCACGGCCAGACACAGCACACAGCACCCAGCACACAACACAGCCAGATACACCACACACAGCACACAGCACACGACACACACCACACACCACACACACTACACACCACACACAGCACACACCACACACCACACAGCATCTTCAATTACATGTTAGAGAATAAATTTTATTCTTGATACCATTAATAGCTTTTTAATACTGTTTTATCATTTTCCTTTTGATGTTTTAATTGTACTTTAAAGTCATCTCTTAGTACCCCTAATTTTTAATACTTTGTCCTTATTTTATATAATTCATCAACTCCTATCTTTGTGAAACTTTGTTCTCTTGGACCTTCGCTGTTCTTAGGCTACCTTCATTCATTGTAAGACATTTCTTTCTTACATTTTTCATCTTGTTGGATCTGTTTCTTTTACACTCCAAATTTAAGCTCCTTTTTGTAATTTTTTCCCTTGACCTTGTGCATTTTCTCTCATGGTCACGGGAGGAGCGGTGAAGGGGCGGGGTCTGCCACCCCAGGAGCCCGGGCTGTGTCTCCACAGGGCCATGCCCAGGACTCTTGGTCACTGGCTGAGGACCACAGTGCTGTGGTTTTGAGTCTGTGCCCTGAGGGGTCACGTGAGGGCTGTGCTGGGAGGGGACCTTTGAGGACTGGGCCTGCTGGGTGGCCCTCGGGTCAATGAGAGAGGCCCATGGGACCCCATCTCTCGCTGACCTCCTGTTTGGCAATGGGAGTTTTCTCTCCCTCCACAGCTGCCCACCATGAGGTGACACAGCCCAAGGAGCCCTTCCCAGACCCTCTGTCACGCTGTTTGGACTTTCAGTTTCCCTAAGGGTGAGCTGCATGAACCTCTTTTCTTTATAAGTTAGTGTGTCTTGGGTATTTCATTACAGTAAAGCAAAACAGACTAATACAGTAGGCTTGGGAACTTCAGAAACCAGTAGATGAGAGCACAGTCCTACCAGAGCCTAAAGTTGGGGGGCAGCTTAACAACCCCCCCCCAATTCTGTCATGCTCTCCCTGGCTATATCCCTGCTAGGAATCTTGGGACCAGGTGGTTTCCTAATGTCACAGCCAAGTGTGGCAGCAGATTTGCAAGCAGTACACTGTACAGACACTTGACGACGGGCTGCTGTTTAAACCTGCAGCTCCAGTTACAAAGGCATCTGAGACACACACCTGAGACATAAGCACTGAAATCATGACAGTACTCTGTGCCTCCTTGATGTCGGGTACAATCAGAGTGGCCTCGGAAGGCCTACATCCTCGCTCCCCTCCCACTCTGCCCCTGCACACTGGGTCTCCCGGCTGAACAACATAACAACATTGCTCATCAAGGGACCAGGCAGAGCGCCTGCTTCTCCTCCTGAACTATTAACAAGCCGGCCACATCCCCCTGTGTGTGGGAACCAGGGAGCACCACCCTCCTGATACTGCAATGCCTGGCTCCCCACCCTGCCCATTTGCACTGTTCCTGAAGGTGGCCTCGCATATCCCTTCCCTGGGCTATGACTATGTGTAGCTAATAAACTGCCGCCCACTGTCAGGTGGCAAATGTCCATCCCCATAACCACAGGGCAGTCGTCCCTCCCTCAGCAGGGTGATCAGGAAGCCCTGGAAACATCACTATTCACCATGGTGGCCACATACACCGCGTGCTCCTCAGTGGGGTGGGCAAGGACAGAGGAGAACGCATCTCAGCCTGATGCCCCACTCCAGCCTCTCCTGGCTTTGATTAAAAGCCCCTGAGTCACCTTCTCATGGGAAGCTCAGAAAGGCTGCACAGCCAGGTCCTGTTTTTCTGTCCACCTCCCTCACACGAATTTTCTACACATTCATCGCCCACATATTTCCCTTCTGGGCAGGCACAGGAGGACTTTCTGGGTGTGGCTGCGCCAGTTTTCACTTCAGGGAGACCAAGGGGAAGGCAGCTAACGCTCCGATGCGCTCCCCAGAAGCTGTTTCCATTGGGCTGGCAAAGCACAGTTGTCAAAGGTGATAGCCCATACCTCTTCTGCTGCTCTCTCTCCCTCTTCTTCCTTAGGCCCGTAAATCAGAATGAAAGAAAAAAACATAATTGCAAGTCAGTTTTACGTTGGATCTGATAATAAGCAAACTATAATAAAGTAGAAGCTCATTGAAGTGAACAACCCATTCATTAAACCATAAAATATATAAAAAGCAAAGTTAAGACAACTAGATGATCTGTACTTTTTTTGTGCATTATAGTTTAAGCTCTTGAAATATTATGAACTTCAAGATATTGTTTCTATCACTCATACACCTAAGAAAATGTAATTAACTAGTAGTACTGCTCAGTACCACGCGTAGCTCTGTCTCCCTCTCAGAGGAAGTCAGAGCTTCGCCATCCCTTCCCCAAATAGCCTGAGGACTTCCCCGGGTCCCCAGTGCTGCAGGGGCATAGGAGCCGTCCCTAGAATTCCCCTGCCTTGCAGCCCAGGCAGCGAGCTCCTGGAATCCTGGACCCAGGTTGGAGACCAACCTTGTTCCCTCTTACCAGCCCCTTCTTTCTGAGGCCACAGAGTTCTGTACTTTGACAAAAGTCCCAGGACAAGGAAGGAAGCAGCAAAACTGGGATCACCGCAAGTCTCCTAATTCCTGCTTTAGTGTTCCTCCTCCTCCCCCTCCTCCTCCTCCTCCTCACCAGGGTGCCTCTCAAGATTGGTAACAGGAAAAGCAAAGTCACAGAAGGCAAGAGATAGAGGCACCAAGGCACTGCCACGGCTCCCAGCTCAGCATCACCAGTCTGGGCCGTTCCGGGATCTTAGACCTCACAGACGAGCCTAAATGTGCTGCTGACACGGCTGGCCAAGTCTGAGGGAGGCCCAGGGGACAGCTTAGCTCTGGGAAGCAGCAAACTAATCTCACATTGGACATCACTGATGACACACCAAGTGTCCATGCAAAAGGAACATCCTGAGAGAGGGTCTGGCCCACGTTGCAGAATTCAGGTGCTGTTGTGAGTTGTGCCTAACCCTCCTGTGACTGAAATCACTGCCCCTGGACATCATACCCCTGTCCTCCCACATTTCCACTCTGCTCTCCATGCTGCAGCTGGACAGACAACTCCAGAAGACAGTGAGCCTCACTGTGCTACCCACATGTTTAGAAACTTCCATGTCAGGATCGCTCTAGAACCCGCCATACTTATTTCAGCTGTACTGAGTCTCGTGTGGTTTTTCTCCCACAGCCACCTCTCCAGGATTCTGCTCAAAATGATGTTTGCAAGGAAGACTTTCCTAACCCTTAGCTGGAGTTGAGGGACCTCTTCTCTGCTCCCACAATCATCATTCTCTCTGTCTCCCTGACTGGCTTGCATGCTCCATGGGGACATGTCTTGCTCATCTTATTGGCTCTTCTGCCTCCAAGTTCTGTCTGGAACCAAGGTATAAGCTAAATAAACCTGAGTTCAGTGAATGGCTATCAACTCTTCAGCTGCCCAAGAATGTTCATTTTCTTCTTGTCTATATAGGAACAGATTAAAATTTACCGCATGCACCATAGAATTATCAATCATGAAGAGTTTTACATTTTCCTAAGTCCAGTTATTTTTCCCAACTGTGTCCACCTTAAACGAGGTACTATTAAAAATGGAGTTATGCTTAGAGCTGGCCAGGAGAGCAGTAAGGGGTCTTATAGGGTAACTGCTGGTCTCAACTCATAGAGGTTAGCTGGGAATGGCTGCGGAAGGACCTAGCACTCTTTATCAGTATCTGAATCAGCCTTCATTTGTTGATAGATATGTGGGAAGGTGATGGCAGACACCGTCTCAAATGGTCAAATCCGCTTTGGAGGACTTAGGATGTTAGCACTACTCACTCTGCTGGGACAAAACTCCACAGCAGCAGGGACTTGGTATTCTCCACGCTCCCTCCCCAGCCCCTAGAATTCTGCCTAGCATGCTGTGCCACTCAGTCTGTTAATAAAATGTTGAGTGAACATATTGAAATAGTGCTATTCCTGCCTTAACCCCGGAAATGAGGTAGGATATATTAATTTTTTTAAACAAGAGAACAAGCTTTCAAATTCAGCTCACAAAATTACAAAATAACAGAATTCAGCAGATCCTTAAAAGTCCTCTCTATACAATGCTTGAACTGACTTTTATGGTTGACAAATAATTACAGAGACAAGAGCCTCTGTGTAGATAACTAATCTCGCAGTCCATCAGCCAATCTCGCGAGATCTTAGGACGATGCGTGACCTGTTGACTATGCAATTTAGGGAACCGCACCTTGGTGTTCTGAGAAAGCCAGAAGGCAGAAGCCCGGCTGTGGATGTCCCTGAATTTTCCACAGCAGCTATTTTTGTTGGCTCGGTGGCCAGGGACACAGGCTGCTGACATGGCGCATGGCCAGCACCGAGGACAGGTGTCAGTGGTGCTGTGTCAGGCCCTGGGTGGTGAGCGGGCCGAGGAAAGAGGGCAGCTGGCCTCAGGCCCTCCAGGGTTTGTCCCGGAAGGAACTTTCCCCAAGACTAGTTTTGGAGGGAGCCCAGGAGGTGAGAGCACCACCATACAGTCGGTCAAGCCAAGGGCACAAAAAGATTTTCAGATAGGGCCACTGGTCGGCAACCAATACAACTCCAAATAACTTCACTATTCTAATAAAGTAGTTCAGCGTGATAAAGGCCAAATACAAACACAAACACGTTGTGATGTCTGCAGCATTTTATAAAGTTCTCCCGGTGCTCAGAGGAACTGGAGGCTCAGAGGAAGCCAGCCCCACCTGCTTCCCAGACATTTTCAGAATTCCTGAAAAATCTGCCCCCATCTCTGCTGGGCTCTTACAGAACCCGTTTCCCACTGGCCATCCGGTTACCCCTGAACAGCACCCCTTCAGGACCGGACCCTCCACCCTGGATTGCTGGGATCTGCTGTTCCTGGGATAGACTTCATCTGAGCATCAGTTTCCTCCTATGTCCCCTTCCTTGTCCTCAAGTCCCTGCTGGTGCCCCCAAATATACTGCTCCATTTCCCCATGGCCAGGGCTCTTGGGGGCAGTGGAGCTGATCATTATTCAAGACCTGGTTTGACCCAGATCGTGAACCTGACCCACCTCTAACAACCATGACGACAACACATTACAGGCTGGCCAGCTGGGTCCTTCCGGGCCGGGGCTCAGGGTCCTACTCTGGCTCTTGTCAGACCTTGCTCCTGGTCCACAGCAGGTAGCAATTTAATGAAAATTGCCAGCTTCCTCCCTGCTGAACTCTAGGCTCCTTGCTTGCTTCCTCACCACTGTGCCCATTCCCCGGCATCTCTTAGAAGCCCAGTAAGCTAAGAACAGGCCTGAAAGCAAAGAAACCACCACACCGAAAGCAAACACTCACGCTTTTCTCCTGGGACTCGGGGAGGTCACCCACTTCTTCACTGCTCTCCTTCTGTACCTCATTCTCCCCAGTTTCTTCAGCCTTCTCTGTTCCCTAGGCAGGAAAACACCCAGGGAATCACTAACCTTCGATATGCTCATGTGGGGAAACCAGGCCACTCCTGCTGGGACACGGTGCATAGATGAGGCTGCTTGGAGCACAAGCTCCAGTAACCCCCAAATTACCAGTTGGGGTATCAGTGTCAGTCCGTAGACAGATGTGCATGTGACAGTAATAAACGGCCTGAGTGGGGGGTTTCAAGTCATCCATTTAAGGCTTGTGAAGGTGACAGATGGGTGCAAAGAGAGAAATAAGGCAAGCAGAAGGGCGGGCAAGATGGATGGACAGACGGACAGATAGAGTAGGCAGACAGCAGGCAGAGAAAGACAGGTCCAAGCAAACACCCTGCAGTGCATGGGGGCAGTGCCGCAGGATGCCAGCCTTTACCTCGGCGCTGCTCTCTGCTTCTCCTGCTACATCACCATTGGGAAGGGAAGATGCTTCCTCAGGTGACTTTGCCACCTGCATCACAGAAATTGAGAATATTTAAGAATTTTCCTGAGGATCATAGTTTGCATTTCAGTGTCTTTTAACCCTTAAAGTTATATTTGTCTTCATCCTTCATTTCATCGGCAGCAAAACTGGCCTAGTTGGTAGGACAGTCCTTACCATGCACAGACAGCGGAGAGGTGAGAAAGAGCAGAAAGGCAGGAAACGTCACATTACAAGTCAGGGTCCGGGACAGGCCTGCCTTTCCTGCTTGATGCTTTCGTAACGTAGGAAGTTGTCCCCAGCCTCTAAAACTGCCCTTCAGAGTCCATGGGAACAAAGGAAGCCATACACACACGCTCCATCTCCACCCTTCTATGACAAGCAATATCAAAAATGTGGAAAGGAGGTGCGACAGCACAGGCCTGCAATCCAGCACTCTGGGAAGCTGAGACAGGAGAGTTGCAAGCTCAAGCCCAGTCTGGACAGCTTGGCAACTTAGCAACTCAGCAGAAACCCTGTCTCCAAAGTGTTTTAAAAACAATTTTTTAAAGGAGGGCTGGGGGCACCAGGGATTTAGCGCAGTGGTTTTGCCGCCTGCCGTGCAAGCACAAGGACCCGAGTTCAATCCCCGGTACTAAATAAATAAATAAAATAAAAGAGGGCTGGGAATGTAGCTCAGTGCAAAGGCCTTGGGTTCAATCCCTATTACAGATAGATAGATAAAATTTTGATGTGTGACCAGTTCTATTCTAATATTTAAAGGCTCTTTTGGAAAATTAGTTGCTATTTTCCTTTTTTTGTTTTTGAAGTTGAAATAACACACTATGAAATAACTTGAATTTTTATCTTCACATACGGACATTTGTCTTGGTTGATTTATACAATTCTATATGGTTTTTTTTTGGAGACAGGATCTCACTGTACAGTTCAGGCCAGCCTTGAACTCACTCGGTAGCGTATGCTGGCCTCGAACTCATGGCAATCCTCATGCCTCAGCCTCCCAAGAGCTGAGATTACAGCCATGCACCACCATGCCTGGCTTCTATATCTTTTTGACATCGGCTTAATAAAAAATAACATTGTATTCAAACATTTCCCAGTTGAATGTTCAAAATTTTCACATTGTTTGTGCCTCTACAAATAACACTATGTTACACTGAATAAAATGATGAGGATATTTTTATTAGGTTCTTTTCCAAAAGGTGAGGGCAATTCATTTTCCCACAATAACATGTGAGTGTACCCTTTTTCTTTACCCTCACTGTCAATGAAGAAAGACAGTGACTTTTTAAGGTTTGCCAATGTTTTGGGGAGAAAATGGAATTTTTGACTGAAGAACAGCAAAGCAATATTTGAGGCAAACCCCAGCCCATGTGAAATAAGATAGAAGGAACCCCAGATTCTGTTTATAAACTGCCAAAATGTCTCTACTTGAACCCTGAACCATGCATATGTGGAATCATGCACATATGTATGTGTTTCTACATAGTATATAACATGATATAATATTGATTTTAGGCTGTGAAATATAAAGAATTTAGATTATAGCCACTAGAAACACCACCACAAAAATAATGCAAAGACATGCAAATAAAAATTCAAGAATAAATTAAAAGAGAAAAGAAGTTAACAGATTTGAACTGCTACTAGAAACATAGAGTTAACCACTGGAGTCCAAGAAAGCAAATGCCTGCTGAAATAACAAAAAGCCAATATTACTCAAAGGAATGTAACACAATACATAGGTGATGCACTATGTCCAAGACATAATCCAAAATACTTGGCATACAAAAAGACCAGAAAATGTTACTCAAGGTCAAAAACAACTCATGAAGACCAATCCAGAGTGCACCCTCATGTTGGAATTAGCAGACAAGGATTTTAAAGCAGCTATTAAAATTATGCTCAGAAATATGCTTACAGTAAATGAAATAACTGCTGATCTCAGTAGAAAAATAGAAACTACAAAAATGAAACATGTGAAACATTCTAGAGCTAAAAAATACAATACTTGAAATGAAAATTTTACTAGACTGGATGCAGAATGAAGATGAAAGAGGAAAAAATAAACTTAGAGATAAATCAATAGAAATTATCCAAATTGAAGACCAGACAGCAGTAAGACTAAAAAAAGTTTTAAATTCTTAGGGAAATGTAGACTATTAATAAAATATTTAACATACATAATTAGAATGCCAGAAGAGGAAGTGAGAGCAAATGGAAGTGAGATATAAATATTTGAAAATACAATAGCTGAAAATTTCCTAGTAGTCACAGATTCAAGACTCTCCACAGACCCCAGTAGGGATAAGTACAAAGAGCACCATGCTTAGGCAGCTCATAACCAATGGGTGCAAACCAAATAAAAATAGAAAGATTCAGGGGCTGGGGATTTAGCTCAGTGGTTTCACTGCCTGCTGCACAAGTGCAAGGACCCGAGTGTGAACCCTGGTACTTAAAAAAAAAAAATAGAAAGATTCACAAGCAGCAAAAGAAACATGACACGAACAAGGATTGAGAGTATTCTCACATCTCATCAGCAACTATGCAGACAAGAGGACAGAGGGAAGAAAAATTGCATCTAAAGCTACTAAAAGAAAAAAACCTGTTGACTAAGAATTCTTTGAAAATATCCTTCAAGAACGAAAGTAAAATAAGGACACTTCAGATCTTAGAAAACTAAGAGTTCATGGCCAGGGGACCTGTACTACCAAACAAGTCTAAGCACGACTATATTAATGATCACTTATGTGCTAATGGACTAAATACTTCAACTGACAAGATGGATTTTCCTGTAATCCCAACACCCTGGGAGGCTGAAGCAGGAAGATTGCAAGTTCAGGCCCAGCATGGGCAACTTAGCAATTTAATGAGACCTTGCTTCAAAATAAAGAGCTGGAGGTGTAACTCACTGTGAAGCCCCTGGATTCAATCCTTGGTACCACAAAAAAGAAAAAAGGAAGAGGAACAGGGGGAGGAAAAGAAGCAGAGGAAGGAGAAGAATCAGAAAAAGAAGGAGAAGGAGGAAGAAAGAGATTGTCAAAAATGAATAAACTACAAAGATCAATCCTGTGTTGTTTCCAAAAGACATAGTATAAAAATAAAGACATAGATAGGTTGAAAGTAAGTGGACAAAAAAAGATATACATGAAACAGTAAGCATAAGAAGATCTGGAGTGACATTACAAATACATAATACAGATATAAAGACAAAGAGTGTTAGCAGAGATAAGGAGACATGATAAATGTAAAAGAGTCAATCCATCAAGAAGTCATAAAAAGCATAAATATAAATGTGCCTAATAACAGAGCTTTAAATGCATGCACCATAAATTCATAGGATTAACAGAAGGAACAGAAAATTCACAATCATAGTATCAATTATAGGACAACAATGTGCAAAAAAAAACAAACTGTCTTTTGTTCCCTCCTAAGGAATTTTACCTTTTTTCAGCTGTCCTAGAAGAAGTGAAATAGTTCAGCTCCTTCTACCACACTAATTTCTTATAGCCTGTCTGTCTTCTCTTGTATGCTTTTCCTTTCCTTCCTTTTGCTGGCTCAAGAATCTCTTCATTCTGTTTTCCCCAGCTCTGCCCTTTCTTGTTAACATAAATGTTCTAAAATGCCTCTGCATTCCACTACTTACTTTACTACTCATAACGGTCATCATTAAACCAGTAACACATCATAGTTACATAGGACATATGGTCCCATCAAGATGCTTTATTTGTCTGCTCTAATTGCAATAAGTGCTTCAGGACTCCTGCAGTTCCCTTCTTTACTATCCACCCTGACCCAAACAATGCCCATGCCATGGATATTCCCATCCATTCCCTTTCCCACATTGCCCTTCCAACAACCCCTGGATTTCTTGCAGATAGTTAAAAATTCTTGATTTCATTACTACTAAGTGCTTCCCTCAATGAAGCAGTTCTCAGCATTGGTAGAGCATTGAAATCACCAGGCAGCTCTGTGCTGAGATTTTCTCCGAATCCATCTTGGATGCAGCCCTGGCATTTCCCTCCTCTAACAGCTCCCTGCGTGCTTATGAGATGCAGCCAGGCTGGAGGCTGATGCCGGTGTCCACCCTGCTCTCTGTCCGTCTTGGGTAAGGCCAGCTCCCGGGCCTGCTCTGCTGAGGGACAGATGTGTCTGTTGCCCACTGCTGCTGTTAAGGGTGGAGGTGGAGGGAGAGGCTTCCCTCTTTGGGTTGACCCAAATCAGTGCAAGCCTCCCCTGCAGAGAGAACAGCCCGGGGGCATGGAGGACCCCAGAGCCACCTGATTTCCTTCTTCAGCCAACCCTTTTGGGTCCACCTCTCAGGGATGCTTCCCATGTCTGGTCCTCAGACAGTGGCCATGGGATGAGGGGCTGGAGGGGTGGCCGCAATTTCACCAGCATTTCACCACTGATCTTCTGGTGTCTCCATAGGTATCAGCTCTCTGCTGCTGAGTCTTCTGTTCTTCCTGGAGCTCCTGTTATTCCCTTCTCGGGCCTCTCATGTTTGACTTCCAGTCTCTGACCTCTCACTTAGGACTTATATTTCTCTATTATAGTTCATGTTTGGTGTATTTCTCCCTCTGACCTCAAACCACAATGTGGTGCTTGTCATGTTCTTCCTCTCTGGTGTTCATCTGTCACAGCTTCATGTTACAAAGTTCCAGAATTCCTTGTTATGCTCCAAATTCTTATCTTTGATGGTTTTCATCATGTTTCTCTAAATCTCCTTTTTTTAATAGGAGTGGATAGGCATTGTGGCTTGGGTCTAGATGTCCCCTCAAAGCCTCATCCAGTGGCTGGATCTAAAGTGTGTGATGCTGGGACTAAGGGTGTGTGGTTCCTAAACCAGTCCACTGATTGGTTCAGTACAGCTAGTCCCTGGTAGTCTAGATAAGAGAAAGGGGCTGAAAGAGAGAATCAACCACAGAGAGATTTGAAATTTCTCAAGCAATGTTGGGATGCCCATTGGAATATAAGGACTTGGTGATATGGCTCTATGAGGACAAAACTCATCATTAAATGTGTACAAA